TAGCTTTTATAAAAAATATTTTAACGCTGTCTCTTATACACATCTAGATGTGTATAAGAGACAGGTGTATAGAACACCTTGCATACATTAGTACTGTATGCTAATTGAAAAGTTGTAAGCTTAAATGTTTGAGTTGAACGTTGAGATTTGGACTGTTCCATTTGATGTGTAGTGATTCTTTTATTCGTAATCTAATTTCACTGTTGTCCTGGTCAATGACGTTGACATATATTATATAATAAAGTAGACTGTGAGTGGGATATTAAATGTTGTGTTTATTAGTTGTCCCAATTTATAATTAAATGTGAAGTTTACCTATAAACGTCAGTGAGCATGTTAAACATGACTAATGTAACTTGTTGGTTGGGTGCTTAAAACACGTTATGTTTTCATTGCGGATTTTTTGGGCTCAGTACGGACTCTAAATGTATGCATTTTCTTTAGTTTTAAGGCGTATGCGGATTTTATCCGCAATGACGATATAACGTGTCTTAACCTTTTTTTCAGATGATGGACCTAATAGATAGATTGAACATAATAATAAAAACATCAAACGTGAGACATAATTACTGATTTTCACCAAATGTTAACTTGTGACTTTGCTGAATTGTACCTTTACATCCTAGAAGTTCAAAAGAAAAGGTTCCACCTCCAGTTTCTGTTAAGACCTTAACATATTGTGCAATAACACCTTCGGGAAAGAAATGAGTTACAGGAGATCCATCTGAAATGGTGCTGCTGAATGTCTGTTGAAATAAAAATAGTTAAAAAACAAATGACATATTTCTAGATAAAGTTCGACGTGAACCAGGCTTTTAAGGGCACCAGTAATCCATGGTTTATCCTTGACATGTAATGCAGCCACTTTGACCGGTAAAAATTTTTCAATGGCATTAGTAAAGGTAAAAGGCAACAAACTTTGAGTTCGTATCTGAACACTGAGGTACCTCTGTCCAATCGTGAAGTGTGATCCAATGACCGAATTGCCTTATAGCGTGCTCTGGTAGCGGACGAATATACTTCTTATTAATTATGTTTTTAGATTTCACTATCACTGAGGGGGGCCTAAACAATGCCATTGTTATCACTGTTGGCAATCGGTGTATGGATATTAGGCGTATTGTAAAAATGAGTGATGTTTGAAAAAATCAAATTAAGGGTAGCATCATCGCGAGTATGGCCATTAACAACTTGTTAAGTCCATGGGCTCTTTCAAGGGAGCTGGTATTCGTTCGGTTGATGTAACCAATGATCACCAAAACCAGCATCTGGGTGAAGAGTTTAATACTGTCAATCCCAGAAATTATGTGTTCACCATACATTTCTCGATGTGATAAAGGCGCTCCTAAAGGAATGAACACACCACAAACAGTGATCAAGGAAAATGAACAAGGAAGCCTGACGGGGCAAAACATCACCCACATGCATTCAACCTCATTTGGTACTTCAACAAGTCCTACTATGTTCGAATTTAGACAATTTTTAGCATAAACAGCCACACCTCCTCCTTTTCTAGTCTTTCGATATTTGGAATGGTCAAAGCCATCGATAGAGATGCTATCATAAGTAATGAGTGGTGTTTGCCACGTTTCAATAATAATGCTAACATCAGCACTAAACAACTATATAT